TGCACAATGGATGCAATACTGGACTTAGTAACGTATGTGGAGCATGAACACGCCTGCGGTAGTTTGACGGTCGCAGTGTTCTTGGACATCAAAAGGGCATTTGACCCAGTCAGTCACACTCATGTTCTGCTGAGTATGTTAGAACACGGACTGTTCGGCAGGTCTTTTCGGTGGGTATCCAAATTTTTATCAGGTCGTAAAATATTCATTCAGACGAGCGAAGGAAAAAGTGCAGAACACGATGTCAGGCAGGGATTGCCACAAGGAAGCGTACTCAGCCCTCTTCTCTTCAACTGTGTTATGGCTGATTTAGCTAAAAGACTGCCTTTCAGGTTGAAATACTCTTTATATGCAGATGATGTGTGCATTTGGGCATCTGGCACGAACATACGGTTAATTCAGATTGCATTGCAAGACGGAATAAATATCAACAATTTTTTAAAGGAAAGAGGAATGATTCTATCGCTCGCAAAGACAGCTGTATTGCCCTTCACCCGTAAGAAGTTAAAGAACCTCAATCTCAATTCAGAAGAAGAACCACTAATGATTGTGACACAGCATCGGTTTCTCGGAGTAATACTTGATAGGCAGCTATCATGGGCACCTCACATATTGAAACTCGAAAACGAGGTGAATACGCTAGTGAATATGCTCCGCAGAATCGCTGAGACATCATGGGGCGGATCTGTATCATCCATGCTCGCTGTTCACAATGCTTTAATACGACAAAAGGTTGCATATTCTGCAGCAGTGTTACACGGCCTTTCCCGCACTTCAGAGGAGCGATTTCAAAGACTATTAGCTAGGGGACTGCGCGTCTGCATAGGTGTTCCACGAGCGACTTCCAGCAGCCTTGTCATAGCAGAGACTCGACAACTACCCTTTCCAGTCATGAGAACAATTGAAGCATGCCGCTATTTTTTCGCTTAAAGACGCAACACAGGGACCACCCATTGGCAATGGAGATTTTACTAAGAGATAGAAGCAATGCTCATAACGATGTACGGAGTAATGTACATATATTACCCAGAAATGAATATTGGAACTCTGAAATGGACTATCCTTCACGGCTGCTTATAATACCAAGCATTGAATTCTCAGTGGATGGCATTATCAGAAAGAGAGACATGTTCATCCAAGCTGCTCAACAACTAGCGCTTTATCAGATACACATGCGGTATCCAGGGTACATACATATTTACACAGATGGCTCAAGTTCTACAACGTCTTCAACATCGGCATTTATCATACCACAGCTCAATACTCAGGAATCGTTAAAATTATGCCGCATGACGTCATCTACAACATGTGAGCTCTTCGCTATTCTGTATGCTCTAAAGTTTATAAACTCGGTAGCAGACGCTAGAAAATGGGTACTTTTCAGTGACTCACAGGCCGCATTAGGATCACTCTCCAGTACAAACAGGACAGTAATAGGTGATAGTATGACATACGAAACGCTGAAGGAGCTCACCAAAGCAAAGAAGGCGCAACATGAGATCAAATTCCAGTGGATACCTGGCCACTGCAACATTCCTGGAAACACAGCTGCCGATGAAGCAGCATGACAAGCACATCGTAAAGACGTTACTGTTTCTTTACCGATTTCGAAAAATGAATTGCGTAGTATTATAAAGAATACAACTTTCAGAATGAGCAAAACTGCTTGGTTTGACCAAAGTACAAAGAGCTGCGATTTATATCACATTAATCCATTCATTGAATTCCAAATTACGCTGGCATTAGATAGAAGGATGGAAACTCTAATTCACCGATTGAGGCTAGGCACCGCATACACAAAACATTTTTTTCACAGAATCGGCAGAGCTGAAACTCCCGAATGCGAATGTGGATTTATAGATGAAGACGTCTGTCACCTTCTCATAGACTGTCCACATCATGACACGCCGAGACGCCGTCTTAAGTGCGAACTGTTCGCATTGGACCGCAGACCATTTAGCCTGAAAAAAACTTCTGGGCCCGTGGCCAACTGGAGTTTTACAGTCCCACGCTTTAAAAGCATTTACACGTTTTTTACAAGACAGCGGGATTGCAGACAAGTATTAACAAAGAACAAACTTTTATTTGTAACACATGTACTTATTATGTACAGTATCATGTGACACCCATCACGCGTGTGTTGTGAAATGAATGACGTGTCGACTTTTATGTAAATACCAGCGAATGCATCTTTATAAGGACCACACGTGTGCTTTGCTGTTTTGTGCTGGTGGACCGAATATTATTGAGGGACATTTCCAGAGACTTCTTACATTGACTTTCGAACATTTACTTATCATTGTGATATGTGCGTATAAGTGTGTCATTGCATATCTGTGCACGAGTTTTCTATTTTCCATGCACTGCTTTGTATGTTTTGCTTTAAGATACGTGTTCAAGTTTCAATCAACGGCTAAAGAGTAGCCGGCGCCATAATGGTGCGCCAACATCTCCTTATATACCATATCAATAAAAAAAATAAAGTGTACTTTTAACATCTCCTTTGTCTGAACTACCTGTTCCTTTAAGTGTATATTATATTAGACCCCTTACTAGCCAGTATATAAGGGTCTAACCAGTATTGCAAATTTTTATGTATTAATAAGAATTCGAACAAAAACAGAACTTGAATAAAAAAAATGTGTACAGAATTCTCAAAATTCAGGTAAGTGGGCCATTTGTTCAGTGCTTTCAAAATTACTTCTTCTGTATGCACGAAGGCATCTTAATATGGTTAAAGGCATTATTTAGGACAGTAATTAGGAAAGTTTATTTATATAACCAGTTAACTAGTGGAGTTAGGTGGTTATGTCAAACATGAGAATTGAAGTTCGTCACGCGAACAACTCATCAGAGCTCTAAAATCTAGAAGAGGCGGTCTCAAGTAAATATTTTGGTTTTATAAACTTCATCGAAATTCCTCGGCGAAACCAGATAACTGATATGCGCAACAAGCACATGACTAAAATGACGTCGCTGTTCAAGACCAGAGCAATAGAAGTGCAGTCGTTGACGAATTTGCGTCGTGAATGCTATATGTACGAGCGCGACCCGCCAACCAATACAATGAAGTGGTTGATAGTTTATATAAAGAGGCTCACTTACTCTGTACGTCTAAAAAAATGTGGTAGTTGCGCTCCTCCACGTTTCGGTGTGGTTTGGGCTGCGGAATTCAGGTGAATTTCATCACTTCGCAATTCATACTATAGCCGGCCTTTTTTAAAATATGAAAGCGGCAACTGATTCTTTGCTTGATAGGCTTCAAATTTCCACATGCAACATATCAACCAATTCTGATGGTTCAATCACCTAATTATTTCAGCTTTCCTAATTGCTGCCTCGAATGATGGCTTTCGCGATCTTAGGATGTCTGTGGCTAGAGAAGTAAATGTGAGGGCATCAAACAAATATCGCATTCCCCTGATTTTCGTGCATTTCGGACACATTGCTTAAAACACCCCGTATGCCAGAGAACAACTGGAACATCCTGGTAAACTTCCAGCAGTAGAAATGCTCAATTCTCGTGACAGCCGCGCGGATCTCTCTTTTATGATGGAAGAGCTCAAGGCAGCACTAACTCTCTGCAGGGTAGCTCTCCAGGACCCACTGGTATTACATAGCGAGCATTGCGCAACCTCAAAGAATGTGCAAGGAGCGAATTGTTGTGGCTTTGCAACTTCTCATGGCAAGATGTCAATGTGCCTGATGACTGGAAAGTAAGCCGTTTTGTGCCCCTCTTGACACAGAGCAAACCCCCCACTCAAGCTCGCCTCGCACCGCCCAATAGCACTGTGTAGGAAAGGTCATGGAATGTAGGATCTTTGGCTGTCTGAAGTGGCATGGTGAACACTACAATATCTATACAAACTCCATGGCCAGTTTTTCACGTGATCGTTCCTGCATCGTCAACGTAGTAGACCTCATTTCAAATGTTCAACACGAAAACTCCCGGAAGCGACTATCTGCAGCATTCTTCTTTGATGTGAAATGCGCATACGATAACGTTTTACATAAGGCTATTCTCGATGCTATTTCGTGGATTTTTTCGTGGATTAAAACCGAGCTTTTTCGTGGATTAAAGTTTTTCGTGGATTAAAACCGAGCTTTTTGTGGATTAAAAGTTATCTGGCTGCTAGGTCCTTCTTTGTGTCAACGGACAATGGCCCAACTACACGACAATATACCTCGAGAAGCGTCCCTCAAGGCGGAGTCCTCAGCCCGTCACCATTAAGCATCGCAATCGTTGGCCCAGCGTAATGCTTGCCAACTACCACCAAGATTACAATATGTGACGACTACATCTGTGTCGGGACTTCAGCAATCACACGTCCCAGATACGTGCGGGGCTCTAAAGAGCAGCAACTTTGACAGCGAGCTATTTGTGCAGACATAGCCATAGCATATAACCAGAAAAAATGTGCTCTTGTGGTCTTCACTCGAAAACCAATGACATCTTATGCCATCTCAATCAACGGGTGGCCCGTTTGTTACGCCATAAAGTCACAGTTTCACCACAACGGCGAAGCATTGAATGCGATAGCAGCCTATTGTAATGTGATGCGAAGAATGACGATAGGGTCGAAACTTGGAGCGCGTGGCTCGAAAACGAAAGATGTACGATAGCTACACACAGGAAACATACACAGACTTGTCACTTCTCTATGTTTCAACAGCGTGCTCTTTCGCTACCGCGGTACCTTCACAGCGAGCGAAGTGAGCTTTGCACACTCTAACTCAAACAAAATTTTCGGGATGAAAGCAGACACCGTAAAACCTGCTCCTGCCAGAAGATACTACCCGCGGCTGAGCATGGGTGACTACGCCCCATAGTGCAAAGTGCAGGTTTCGAGCCAACGCATCGTGACCAGTAGGGTGGCATACGTGCACATCGCGCCATCTCGTTGGCACGCTGGTAAGGCTAATGAACACGTTAATATTGCATCAATATTTCGACAAGATCTTTGTTTGAAATTGTGACTTTTTCATTTCTCTGTCTCCAGGAAGGAAGCAACGGGCGCAGCCTTGCTCCTCTCTATGCTGCTTACGACACTACCGGTAGTGTTCTGCGATAAAGCACCTCCTGACATCGTGTTCTTTTTTGCAGATGACTTGGTAAGCAACTGATGTTGAAATCGGTTTATTAGTTCAGTTTCGGGAAATGTTGATATTACCTGCGAGTAATCACGCGGGAAAGCGATTAACCTGCTGATAATTGAGGTCTAATTGCCCTGGGGTAAAGACCATCGGAGTTTACTTTAGATATTGTGCACAGTTCAGGAAACTGCAAAACAGAAGTTCATTGAATTTGGTTACAGCACTTCAAGAGCGACCCGAACGAAGTTCGTGGGTCGAATGCTCATTACCATGGCGGCTGCATTTTGATGACAAGAAAAAGCTAGAGGCCGGTTTGCTTTGGTTTAGGCGCATGCTAAAGGACCCCAGGTGGACGAATTCTTCAGTCGTTGACTTCGGCGTCTCGCACGAGTATTCTCATTTCGGGACGTAAAACTCGAATAAAGCATGTTTTGTTATATATTTATATTTTACAACCGCTAATTAGGTCATATCATCACGACTTTCACCAGATAACGTGATATTTGCAGTGATGCAAGCGTACGAACCAATATTCAATCGGTGTGAAGCAAACTGAAACGATGGAGTGTGTAAATATTTTATCTATAATATTCTGAGCACCATTCCCAACCATGATGGAGTATACACATAGGTATGTGCAGACGACATAGGCTTTTTCGCTTCAGATACGGATATATATACATTCTTTATATACTCCCTTACAAACGTTTATGTGTGCCAGTGAAAAATGGTTAAAGGTCATTAAGTTATGCCTTAATGTTAAAAAAAGCGCGATTATTGTTTTCTTTTTGGATAACGCAGTTATTATCAGATTAACTTGCAACCTGCAGAATATTCAACAAGAGGACTCAGTAAAATATCTGGGAGTTATTTATGATAACAAGCTGCTTTGGCATTCAGACATTGAATACATAGCCAGGAAAGGCAGTATGGGGGCTAGGAATCCTACGAAGGCTATGCATTAGTTGATCAGGGATGTGGAGAGATTCACTAATTATGATATACAAAATGTACGTACACCCCGATTTAGAACTTGAATGTGTTTTATATTCGGGTCTCCAGCTGATAAACTACGTCCTCTGGTACTCCTGGAAGGAGAGGACGTAAGGTTATGTCTTGGATTACCAAAATTCGTCGCCAATATTCTCCGGTACTTAGAGGCAAGTTTGTCCTCTATTTTGTGCAGATTCGAGAGTACTAATGATACAAGCATATTTGATGTTTTGTGAGTGCCCTATAAAGTTAAGTATTATTTTTATGCACCAGCCAGCGTTAGTTTTTTATCTTATTGACCTTGGTTTCAGACTCCACAGGTGGCATACGTACAATCCCTCGTTGGCTCATTAAATGTAAACTGTGTGAAATCTCTTCCATTAGCAATGGAAGGCAGAATCTCGAAATCATGTTTGATGATATATATCCAAATGTTGCAAAAGATTTGTCGACACATTTAATAAATAGCCTTCCGCAACCGCATTTAGTAAAGATTACTATAATAAATATAATAGCTACAGATGCCTCGCAATCTGAAGAGAAGTCTGGCATTTGAATTTTCTCTGAAACCTTCAACATGTCCTTTTCACTAAGACTACCCAATTTATTGTCAGTATTTTCGGCAGAACTTAAGCGGCGATAATGACATTAAGAAAGCTCGGCCCGCCAACCTCATGTGTGGTCATAGTTACCGATTTATTATCTTTGTGTTTGGTGCTCGCCTCGAATAGTGACTCGTATTTATCACGCACGTTTTATTTTCTGATCCCAACTTACAGACCTTTAATTCGATTGATTTGGGTTCCAGGACACAGGGGAATAAAAATGAATGAAATGGCGGACGCTCCGGTGAATGCCACTCTCAGTGGTCCGGTACTTTCAAATATTCCCCCATCAGCACTCATATACGTGACAGATTTCGAAAGCGTACCATAATTGAAGACTCTGCTGAAACACTAATCACTCACCTAAACGAATACGACACCTCTTGTTCGCTTGGCGTAGGAAGTTCTGGTCAACACACAAAGAAGTTCTTTTTACGAAATTAAGCTGTATAGTGCCAAAATTAAATTACTACATGCATATAGCTGGTCTGGCTCCTTCCCCTCTTTGCTCATGCTGTAACAAGGATAAAACAATCAAACATTATTTTTTATAGTGTACTCGCTTCAAGTCAGGGAAGAAAAAAACATTCTTAAAGCGGCTTTTAATCAAATTAGATTGGATTTCATTATTTCTAATATTCTCTCTTTTGGAGCTTCCTCATTCGGCTCATCGGCACCGGGATATATGTTCTGCTGTACATAGATTCTTAATCGAATCAAGGTGGTTTTGATTGCAGATCTCCATATTAGTAAAGTTTGATTTCTTATAACCATTTGAAAATTCATTAGATTCAAAAGTAATATGTATTCCACTATATAAACAATTGTTTCTTGGCCATTCCGCCACAGTGGGTGTGAGCCATTCGTTTAGGCCATCATCATCATTATCATCAACATCACCATATTCTGCGAATCCCCTCCATTGGCTACGAGCAATGTGCAGAGGCAAACAAGAAATCATTGCATGTCATTTTGTGACTATTGCACGCAATAGGTAAGACACATTTTAGTGCGACAGTGTGAGCGTAATGTTTATTTGTTATATAACACAAGCTTGATGTGACCACAATAAACCAGAAAGCAATAACGAAGCATGGTTTGACACCTGATGCTTGGCTTAGTAAGTTTTTGCCGTATCGTACGGCTGAACACGGCGGTCTGTATTACAGGGTTGGGATGATCCCAGCTTTCACGGGTCTTCCCAAATACCTACGCCAAATCTGGACGCCTTGGCGGCGGATGGCGTCATACTCAACAAGTTCTACGTTGAGCCTGCCTGCACGCCTTCGAGGTCGGCTTTCATGACCGGCCGCTACCCAATACGCATGGGTAAGTGACTTGTGCGCTGCCTGATGCGTTTGTCACTGAAAAACTGAAACCCAACTTCGAATGGGTCAAGCGAAGGTTTGCCCTCCACAGATTTTTAGAGGTGGTGCACTATAGGTTTTCGGCTTGTGCGTGTATCATATGGTCGTCATGGTTCATCATGAACAAGGATGCGCCCCCCCCCCCAAAAAAAGGGGGGGGTATGAATACCAATCCGGTCTGTACAATGCATATTATTACTAAAGATTTTGAGGCGGAGAAGAGTCCGACACCCGGGAGGATGAACTGATCCCTTTTTTATTGCATGCTTACGAGCAGCCCTGCCTTGTGCCCTCTTCTTCGCGGTGTTGCGTTTTCCCGGCAAGGTTTTAACGCAGTAGATTCGACGTCCTACCGGGGCCGCAGTGTGGTCGCTTGCCTCCAACAGGTGCAGTCGATAAGCGGCTTGGCTCATTTCATTGCCGTTTGCAAAGTCGATTTGCAAACATCTTTTGATGCCGCATCTTTCAAGAAGCACCGCGACTGTTTTGCAAGGAGTACCGCGGATGCGCCACCACGTTGTGGCCGATGACTTTGACCAAGTTCCAAACACCCAGGCGGGACGAAGACAATGCCTCGCAGTGATGATCAGCGCAGACGGGAAACTACTTTTCTTTCTTCATTAGTATCCACGGTCCGGGAAGCTCGGTTACAATTCCTGAGCTTTTGCAGGTCATTCGCGGCAGTAAAACATCTGGCAGTCTATGCTGGTAGCCACACCGCGAGCTTGCTGGTTACGAGTTGTGTTGGTGGCAGCGCCCATGTATCTTGCGGTCCTCGCAGTATTGCGTTAGAGGGCAGTCATCTACTGTCACGTCTCCATGACCTCTGATTCTTTAATGAGAGGCAACGTGGTATGCGAATGGCAGTCAGAGTGTAAATTTCTGATGATGTCTCCTCTCACAATTAGCTCATTGACGTCAGGTAGAAGGGGTTCGCCCCTATACATGTGCTGCCCCAACAGCTGTCCACGCCTCTTCTTCTCTGACAGTGCGACTCGGAAATCATACATCACGTGATTTGCAGATGCCACAGATGAAAACACAGTCCCTCCAGGGCTAGTTGGTATGATATGACGAAAGTTATAGCGCGAGAACAAAATGACGACACTAGAGACAAGGAGACACAAAGGACACGCAATACTGCGAGGACCGCAAGAATACATGGGCGTTGTCACCATGTCGTGTACTTTGTGTCCTTCTTGTCTCTGTGTCGTTGTTTTGTTCTCGCGCTATAACTATTCGCCCTCTAGGGGTTCAGTACCAGCTGAAGATGATGATAATGCTGCCAGTGCTACAGTGGATAGTAGATGATGCAGTGTCAAGGCGTCTGCTGCTTTGCAGTTTCCTGATGAGCTCCATAAAGTGGTTTACTTACGTGTCATTCGACTCTTCTCTCGGCTTTTCACTTCACCATTATCGACTTCGGGACTGCACTGACTTGCTTTTATTTTGATTGCTCTACAGAGTCCACGACGTCTGTGTCAGTGTTCTTGTGCTTACGTTATAGAAGTGTCTGGTTCTCCTGCAAAAAGTGCATCAGTAGTCGGTGCAAAACAACTGCGTACTGTGCACACGGCATGCCACCACTGTCCAAGCAACTAGTACAAAAACCGGATTTGCTCATACACGTTCCACAGCCTTGATACTTGCGACCATGCCTCGATTGTTTAAATGTCAAGAAGGAGGCTGTCTATGTAGACATAGATAAGGAGATACATTCAGTCAACCCTTTCGTTGTGCACCTTGACGGTGACGCTGCAGTTCCCCCAGTCAGGAGTGTTACTTCGATGGCTATCTTTATAGCATCGGCCAAAAAAAAGCTTGAACGTCTCAATGTGCTAGACCTTAGGGTGCGCCTGAATGGTCGCATGTTAGTGCTCCCACAAACCCGGCTGCTCTTGGTTCTCGCTGCTGAAAACGGGTGTTTGGAGCTTTGGAAAAGTGTGTAAGAGGCTAGGGGCTCATGGCTTTTGCCTTAGGGGAAGGGTGTGAAGGTGTTTTCTGAGTGGGTAGCTACTATATTTTTTCGAACTATAATGAAGAAAGAACAAAAGGGAAGAAGGAATCAGATGAAAAGACTGGGAAAGCAATAGGGAGAGAGAGAAAGAAAAAAAATAGACACAAGAAACGATAGAAAGACCAAAGGTCACGACAGAAAACAGGAGAGAGAATGAAGAGAAAGAAACAGTCGGTCTGTCCCCCGATTCAGCCACGCAGCGAGAGTTGAGGCCCCTGATCAACGCCCAACCATTTTGACCTGGTGGCTGTGTTCATACTTGTGAACATGGTCGATCAAGAAGCAAATATTATGCATATGCGAGGCGCAACATGAATACGTAATTATTAGGTGGTCCATTTCTTTACTAAAGGTGCATAGATACGTAATTTAAAGACCCCAGTGTTTCTTACGCTGCCCTGACAACGCACAAAAAAGCGAATGTTTTATAGCCTTCGCTTAGATGATAGGTTGCTGCCACCTACCAGTGGCTTGCGTTCCACACAATAGTTGGTTCCCCGACGTTACTGTCAGATGGTGACCCTGTTTGGCGCAGCACCTCTACACAGAAGACTATCGACTTTCGACGACATCTACAGGCAGACATGTGGCCATTTTCTTTCGTTTCACAGGCATCTGTAGTAAATAAAGAAACGCGAATATATATTGAATAGAACACTAGGAGCTGTCTAGTCCGACGTCTTGCTACACGATCTACAACTTTCTTCGAATCGTTCGCCCAGCTTCTTTGTTTCAAAAGTTAGACAGGTGGCCTATTGAAGCAGTTATTCAGAACACAAAAATTGCATTGCTCACTTTAGGCAGCGGTCAGCAACGCCTGCTTTGATCACGTAATTCTTGACTACGGCAGTATATTTTAAAACACTGGCTATAACTCACGGGCGCACCCTATATAGCATAAAGCTTTCCTAATTTTTTGTACGTTTGCACTCCTGTTATGTTCTCGTCTTGTTCTGGCTTTCTGGCTGTACCGTTGCGAACGACTGTCACCTATTTAGTTAACACACACACACACACACACACACACACACACACACACACACACACACACACACACACACACACACACACACACACACACACATATATATATATATATATATATATATATATATATATATATATATATATATATATATATATATATATATATATATATATATATATATCAGGCAGACGTCCGAACGTGGCCGCAATTTAAAACGTCGATTGTAGCAGTCTTCGATCGACCTGCCGTCCGAAAACTTCATGCCGAGCAACGTTTACGCACACGCGCACAAGAAACGGGTGAAACCTTCACAAGTTACATGTGCAGACGCGTGAACGCCGAAATGACGGAAGCTGAAAAATGTGAGCAAATACTCAAAGGGATTGACGACGACGCTTTTCAAATGGTCTTGGCGAAAAGCCCGACCACTGTTAACGACGTAATTAGCCTCTGCCAAAGCTACGATGAATTGCGGAAGCAGCGAGCTTTGACAAGACGTCCTCCAGCGCACGATTTGGCATCGCTGTCTAGTGTGATCAGTGGTCATGACCACGCGTCACTAATAGCCGAAATAAAAGCATTTGTCCGCGAAGAAGTGGCACGACAGCTTTCCTTGGTGCCTTTCACACCAGAAGCTACCACAACTTTACCATCGTCTCTACGTGAAGTCATTCAGGAAGAGGTCACCGAGGCCTTACCAGCTGCTCGCGAGCCTAATCTTGTGGCTGCTCCTCTCACCTACGCCGCGGCTGCAGCCATGCCAACTCGCAAGGCGCCTGCGCCTTCGTTCCAGCCTCGCGCGAGCTATCCCCCAGCTCCAGTTCACTGGACCAGCACTAACACCGCCAACCCGTGGCGCACCCTCGATAATCGCCCAATATGTTACGCTTGTCGATACCCCGCACCTCCACCAATTATAAAGGAGATTTATTAAGCAGACAGGTTGATGCTTGGAAGGCTTGGAAGGCGATGCACAAGCCGCAATTTCCGAGCTCGAGCCGCTGCTGCACACTCGATGCTGCTGCCTCTGCGCCGGAGTACTTCCTCTTCTTTATAGTCTTCAAGACCTACGAAAGGCTTCAATACCTACGAAAGGCTTCGACATCGCTACTACTGGCGTGTCATGTATACCTTCGTCCACAACTTCGTCCGCTCTTGTGCCGAATGTCAGCGCCGAAAATCTCCACCACACGCCTCCGCCGGTGAACTGCAGCCTTTACCATGCCCTTCCCGACCCTTCGAACGGGTTGGAATAGATATTTATGGGCCACTTCCATTGACTCCTACTGGCAACAGGTGGATAATAGTTGCTATCGACCACCTAACGCGCTATGCTGAGACCACTGCTCTTAAAACGGCTACAGCACAGGAGGTTGCCACTTTCCTACTGCGTCATTTTGTGTTGCGTCATGGAGGCCCTCGAGAACTCCTCAGTGACCGCGGCCACGCCTTCTTGTCCGAGGTCATTGAAAAATTGCTCGCTGAGTGTGCTATTGTACATCGCACATGTACCGCTTACCACCCACAAACCAATGGGGCTACCGAGCGCTTTAATCGTACTCTCGGTTACATGCTATCTATGTTTGTGACGCCTGACCCATTCTTAGTTCTCCCATTCATTACATACGATTATAATACGGCAACGCAAGCAACAACAGGCTTCTCCCCTTTTTACCTCCTCTACGGCCGTCACCCCTCCCACACCATTGACACCATTTTGCCCTATCGACCAGACGCGTCCGAGTGCCTACCGATCTTGGACGCCGCCAGACACGCAGAAGAATGCCACTAGTTAGCTCGTCGCTTTACCTGCGATGACCAAAACAGGCAAAAAGCAATTCGTGATGCCCAGACCTCAACTCCCGTTTTTCTTCCGGGTTCTCTTGTATGGCTGTCAGTGCCGCATCGCACACCTGGACTCTCTTCCAAGCTTCTGCCAAAGTACGATGGGCCATAT